GTCAACGGGTTGCCTACCCTGAACTTTTCGCGCGTTCCAACGGGTTAGGGGTCTTCAAAATGTTGCGGAGCACCCTGTATAAAACGTTTGAGCGAATAAGCGCGAGAAAAGCGGTAGGTTGGACTCGATAGACATCTGATAGTGAGAAGTGAATGTGTGGCATATAGCACGGCACCAAAAAATTGTCAGGCAGCGAGTGATTGTTTACGTCTCATCGCCTGAGACTCGCCGCTCGCTGCTTGACAATTTTTTCCAGCGCAGTATTATATGTCAAGCATTGTTCCATCTCTCCCTTTACATGCCTATAGAGTCTGGTTTTTTCCCGCTTATTCGTTTAGACGTTTAAATTAATTACTCGATAACTATTCCGAACAAAATGGTACATTTCAGTTAAATTTTTCAATTGAATCCGCTCTATCTGTATACGAGCAGATGGATACCTTATCCATAATACTTGTAATATACGTAGATAATTTTTTGTGTCGGACAAGAGCTGCGTTCTGCATTGCAAATCTGGGACATCGGAGTGCTCTTTTGAGTGAACAAAAGAAGAATGAGAGATAAAAAGAGGAAGAGCTCTTCAACACTTAAGATTAGTTATGCTGAACGTAACAGATCAGTATAAAAATATATTGCACGTTCGTATACTTACTTTATTATTGCGAGAGGAATCCCCCCTTACGAAAAATACACCGAAATTTTTTGTGTTTACCATCAATTTTGGTGTCTCTTGAGGATTTACCCTCAATTTTGGTGTCATTTCGGGTGTTACCCTTAAATAATTGAGTGTGATCTTCATTTTGGGTGTTATTTTCAGTGTTACCATCGAATAATTGAGTGTTGGTTAGGTGTGACTGTCAACCTAAGTATGATTTTTGGTGTTACCCTCAAATAATTCAGTGTAACCTACATTTTTTGTCATTTTCGGTGTTACCTTCAAATAATTGAGTGTTGATTGGATATTATGACCGTCAACCTAAATATGATTTTTGGTTTTACCCTCAAATAATTCGGTGTGACTTATATTTTGGTGTCACTTTCGGTGTTACCTTTAAATAATTGAGTGTTGGTTGGGTATGACTGTAAACCTGGGTTAATTTTTCATTTTACCCTTATATATTATAATAGTTTTATCATCTTACCTTAATACTTTTTTGAACAGAATAATGGGACAAATCAACCGGTGTAAAGAAAACACACAATTTTGGAACAAGTAATAAAAAAATTTTTTTTAACAATTGTGTGTTTTCTTTACACCGGCCATCATCTTATGGCCCCCTCGAAACCAAACAACTTTTGTCTAAAACATTTTTCTCTAAACTCAACAGCGTTTGAAGTATTCGCCTGGCTAGATTAAAATGAAACACCCTGTATATATGTATACATATATATGGGTCATTCTCCGTCAACCGGTGAGGCCGCCTACCCAAAATTGGTTTCAACGAAAGTAAACGAGTATGGGCTTAAAATTCATAAAAAAATAAGTGCTATCGAATGCCGTGTGCTGATTTTTACTATCCAAAATGGCTGATCCAATATGGCGGCCAAAACGTAGGATAAAAAATGTAAAATTTTT